CAGGAGCGAAACAAAGGACGTACATGTACATGAATCCACGCTGGTTCCGAGAGCACGCATTGCACAAATGTTCGTAGAACGCGGCGGGTCTCGCGAATCGAGGGACCGTGTTCATGTACATAGCTGGGCGCGTACGTCCTTTGTGGGCTCCCTATCCTCCCGCCCCCTTCGGGAGCCCAACGGTCGCCGGAGAGCGCCGCCGGGCCCGCGGGCGGCCCGCGGCCCTCGAGAGAGCGGCGGCGGTCTCGCAGCTCGCGGCACCCAGAGGTGGCGAGCGCCCGCGCCTCCGCGCAGCACCGCAGTGAGCTGCTCCCCCCCCTCCTCCTCCTCCTCCTCCTCCTCCTCCTCCTCCTCCTCCTCCTCCTCCTCCTCCTCCTCCTCCTCCTCCTCCTCCTCCTCCTCCTCCTCCTCCTCGCCAGCGCAGGCGCAGCCCGCGCCAGACGGCGACGCCGCCCTCTTCCTCCGCGCGCGCCCTGGAAAGTGGCGACTGTTTCACGAGTCGCAGCCCACCATCACCCCGGAGACGGCGAGGTCCCAGTCTGATTTGCGTAGCACCTCGCCAACCTGCCTGCACCCCCCCCCACCCCTCCCAGCAGCCCTCGAAAGTGGCGACGGTTTCGCAGATCGCAGTTACCCCAGGGATAGCAAGGTCGAATATGAATCTGCGACGAGTATCTACGATGCTGCCCCCCCGATCAGCCCTCGAAAATGCTGCCAGCTTTCGCAGATCACAGCCCCCCAGGGACGGCGAGGTTTAACTTGAATCTGCTGCGAGTGCCCACCATGCTGGTTTCCCCAGCAGCCCTCGAAAATGGCAACGGATTCACGCATCGCAGCCCCGTACTGATGGCGAGGTCTACTCTGAATCTGCGGCGAGTACCCAGTACGCTGCCCCCCCCAGCAGCCCCTACCAGCCCTCGAAAGTGGCGACGGTTCCGCACATGGAAGGCGAGTTCGAATATGAATCTGCGGCGGGTGCCCACGATGTTAGGCCCCCCCCCCCAGCAAACCCCGGCAATCCTCGACATTCGCGGCTGGGACAGTTTCGCAGATCGCAGCCCCCCAAAGCAGGCGAGGTCTAATCAGGATTTGCGGCGAGTGCCCAGTGTGTTGGCCCCCCAGCAGCCTTCAAAAATTGCAACAGTTTCGCAGTTCGCAGCCCCCCCAGGGATGGCGAGGTCTAATCTGGATATGCGGCGAGTACCCACGATGCTAGCCCCCCCAGCAATCCTCGAAGGTCGTGACAGTTTCGCAGATAGCAGCCCCCCAGGGACGGCGAGGTCGAATCTGAATCTGCGACAAGTCTCCACGATGCAGTCTTCCCCAGCAGCTCTCGAAAGTGGCGGCGGTTTCGCAGATCGCAGATCCCCAAGGATCACGAGAACTAATCTGACGATGCGGCGAGCGCAGATTTATGTTGGCCCCCCCCCGGCAGCCCTCGAAAGCGGCGACGATCTCTCAGATCGCAGCCCCCCCCACCGGGATGGCGAGGCCGAATATGAATCTGCGGCGAGCATCCACGCTGCTGCCCCCCCGAGCAACCCTCGGCGAGCGTGGCCCCCCGAGGCAGCCCGAAAGTTCCGTTCAGTCGGGCTTGTCTCTCTACAGGGGGGATATTCCAGAATACTCGAAAAATAGTCTGGGGACGATTTGTTGTATTATTCCCTACCTAGGCTCTGCCTAGAAGGGTTCTTACCGTATGAGCTTAAGGGGCCGTGCAGTGGACTACGCCCCGGGCGGTTCCCCCGGCATCCGCCCCGCGGTTCCCCCAGGATCCCCCGCTTTGCCTAGCTTAGCTTAGCCTAGCTTAGCTTAGTTTAGCTTAGCCAGGCTTCGCTTAGCCTAGCTTAGCTTAACTTAGCGTAGGTTAGCTTAGCTCGGCGTAGCCTGATTTAGCTTAGCATAGCATAACATAGCCAGGCATATCATAGCTTAGCACAGCATAGCATAGCATAGCGCATCATAGCAGAGCATAGCATGGCATTGCTTAGCATAGCACAGCGCAGCACAGCATAGCATAGCACAGCACAGCATCGCACAGCATAGCATAGCATAGCATAGCATAGCATAGCGCATCATAGCATATCAGAGCATAGCATAGCATAGCATAGCGCAGCATATCACATCATAGCATAGCCTAGCATAGCATAACATAGCGCAGCATAGCATAGCATAGCATAACATGACGCAGCATGGCATAGCATAGCATAGTATAGCGAAGCATAGCTTAGCTTATCTTAGCTTAGCGCAGCGCAGCATCGCGCAGCGCAGCATTACCACGGCATAGCATAGCATAGCATAGCATAGCATAGCATAGCATGCAAAGCAAAAACAACACCAATGCGAAATTGTAGATGTAGATGTAGGTGTAGGTGTAGATGTGGATGTAGGTGTAGATGTAGATGTAGCTGTAGGTGTAGATGTAGGTGTGGATGTAGATGTAGATGTGAGTCTCGCTGTTGATGTTGATGTAGATGTAGATGCAGGTGTAGATGTTAATGTAGCTGTCGGTGTAGATGTAGATGTTGCTTTCCTAGATGCTCCAACTCCTAGGTAGGGTCGCACTGGGATAATGGTTTAATCATGTTGGGGTGTTGCTTGTTGTTATAGATATAAACGTCGAATATCCCCCTGTATGGGGGACACGCCCAACCTAAGAGTGGCGCCAGGCTCGCAGCTCGCAGCCCCCCCCCCTTGGCGACGCCGAGGACGGCCGGGCGGCAGGCAGGCTGGAGGCAAGGGGCGGAGGCAGGGCGGGAGGCAGGGCGGCAGGCAGGCAGGCAAGGGGCGGGAGAAGTCGTTCAGGAAGGAAGAAAAGACACACAGACACAATGAATCGTCGATTCCCCAGAAAAGAGGGGAAACTATGGGAAGAGTGGGGGGAAGATAAAAGCCCAGAAAATATAGAAAAAAACGCGGGGAATCCTGTTATCTGTGTGTATTCATGTGTGTGTCCCAGGGCCCCTTCGGACGTGTGCGGCCGCAGTGCTCCATCCAAAACGAGCACCCAACGCAGGAGGATTGGGGAAAAATGAGGATGAGGTGCACAACTCGTCGAACATATTTTCGGAGATCGTCCCAGCACGGTGTGCCGTGATGCAGCTATGCTGCGGTGCTCCAGCTCTCCATCTCTTCTAAGACGGCTCCCAGTGCCAACTGCGCCGAGCATTTGTGCTTGACAGCCGCCGTTTGGTTCCGTTGTATCCTCGGGGGGGGGGCCTCGATTGTCTCAAATGTGAATATTCTCATGTGCCCGACTCGGGCTCGACGCGGATATGGCGTGAATTCGACTAGGGAAGCGCGACGTGACAGACAAGGTCCCCCGAAGATGCAGCGTAGGTCTGGCCACGCTGCCAGGAAGCCGTAGCTTTGTGCTTCGGGCCGTGCGTGACGCACGCGCGAGGCTGCGCGGGAAGGTCCGCGCACTTCGCCAATCCGAGGGCGGAGCTTGGTACTGTTGCCGCTCCACCGGCCCCGCCTTGTCTTCCTCGAGCCAAGCGACCTGGAGGCGTACGCGGGCCAGGGGGCACTGAGGCAGCTGGGCGGCGCAGATCGTGGAGGCTCTGCGTCGTTCTGTCGCCGGTGGGCAGCGGGGTAGGGAGAGCATCTGGTCAAGACACCTCCTCCCGACAAGCTGGGCCAGCGTTCCTTGGCCAGCTTGCCGGAAAGCTGGCCCCGGTTTCTCGAGCGCCCTCGCCCCTCCAGCGTGAAGGCGAGCACTTGGCCCGGGCTTGCCTTAGGAAACTTCCGGCAAGATGGCCCCAGAGTGCTGGCCCCCGTTTCTGAAGATATCGTCTTCTTCATCAAAGAGTCCGTTGTGTTTTGGATGTCCAGTCGTCGGGTCCATCTCGCCCGCCAGCACGGCAGACGTTGGGCCGCCTGGCTTCGGCCGCTGCCTGGCCGTCTGCTACATCGAACTGCTGCTTGGCGCGTACCAAAGTCAGAGGGAAAATAATACGCAGACGCAAATAATCGTCGATGTTCATGGGACTATTGAAAATCTAGGGAGTTGAAGGGGACGACGGACATCCAGGAAACAAGGGACATACGGAGAATCCTGAGAGTTGTGTCAATTCATTCGTGTGTCCCTGGGACCCTTCACGAAGGTCATGCGGCTTCACGGCACGAGGCGTTCGGGGGTGTTCTGAGGTGGGTTCGGGTTGTGGACCAGGGGCGCCTTCTCGAAGACGTCGGTGGCGAACCACCGCCGCCATCTGCCGTCTGCAAACGTGGATCGCCTAAGCACAAGGAAGATCGCTCCGACACTAGAGCAGATTGTAATAGCGCGAACGTGGATTGTAAGATCACTGAGGGGGTAACCAAGGGGGCCTGGCTGATTTACATCTGGCCTCGCTCCCGTGTGAATTGTATGGCCTCGCTTCCGCGTGATGTGTATGGCCTCGCTCCCGTGTGAATTGTAAGGCTTCGCTCCCGTGTGAATTGCGCGGACTCCGCTCCCGTGTGAATTGTGTTGACTCGCTCCCGTGTCAATTTCAGGTCCTCGCTCCCGTGTGCGTTGTCTGGCCTCGCGTCCGTGTGAACTGTATGGCCTCGCTCAGAGTGCTGGCGCAGAGGTCCGACTTGGACCATACTAAGATTAAATGGAGGAGGAGGACGACGAGGAAGAGGAGGAGGAGGAGGAGAAGGAAGGAAGAGGAGGATGTCGGATGGCATCATCATCATCATCATCATCATCATCATCATCATCATCATCATCATCATCATCATCATCATCAGCATCAGCATCAGCATCAGCATCAGCATCAGCATCAGCGTCATCGTCATCGTCATCGTCATCGTCATCCTCTCCCTCCCTCCTCCTGGTGAGTTTTGCTTTCGCCCTAGATCCTGATCCCTGCACGTCCCCAGAGGCCTCTGGCGGCTCAACATGATGCATCCTGGAAACGTCGGACGCCCCCCCCGCGAGTCTCGAGATTCGAAGGATGACGGCAAATTTTTGCAGATCCTCACTCTTGGCACAGACAGCCGCGCTCGGGGAGGCACCGTCGAGATCTTTGTCCGGCGCGGCGAGAGCACCCCGGGGGACAAGGGGAAGCAGGCGCGAGCGCGGCCTCTTTGTTTTTTGTTGGTGTGTCTTGTTGTTGACAGGTTCTCTGGCTCAGGAGGTGGAAGGGAAGGACGACAACAGCGGCGAGGACAGGTGGAGCAGGGAGGAGGACGAGGACGAAGTCGAGGAGAGGCCACAAGCAAGAGGAGGAGGAGGAGGACGACGACGACGACAACGACGAGGATAAGTCGAGGACGAGGAGGACAAAGAGAAAGGCGGGTGGAGGAAGGAGGAGGAGGAGGAGGAGAAGGAGAAGGAAGAGGTTGAGGACGAGGAGGAAGATGACAACGACGAGAACACATGGCCTACCAGCCCAACCAGAGCCGATGCCCACAGGACTTGTCTTAGTAGCCTTATGGAGGCCTCCTGGAGCCATCTTGGGAGGAAGGGGAGGAGGAGGAGGAGGAGGAGGAGGAGGAGGAGGAGGAGGAGCAGAAGCAGCAGCAGCAGCAGCAGAAGCAGCATGAGGAGGAGGAGGAGAAGGAGGAGGAGGTGGAGACGAAGGAGGAGAAGGAGAAGGGGGGCGCCTTCGTGGATATGCTGCTGTTGGAGCTTCTTGGAGGCGTCTTGGAACCTCTCAGAGGCCTTCCTGGGGGCCGCAGCGTTTTTACGCTGCGTGTTTTTAACGCAGTATTTTTTGTTGTAGTGGCCTCCGGCCAGTGCCGCCGATCCGGGGCGCTCTGGATGATGATGATGATGATGATGATGATGATGATGATGATGATGATGATGCTGGTGATGGTGATGATGATGATGATGATGATGCTGATGCTGATGCTGATGCTGATGCTGATGCTGATGCTGATGCTGATGTGACGATGGTGATGGTGATGGAGATGGAGATGGTGATGATCCCGCACCCCCCCCTCCTCTCTCCTGTCCCCCCCCCTCTCTCCTGCCCCTCCCCCCATCTCTCCTGTTCCCAACCCCCCTCTCTCCTGCCCCTTTCCCCCCCCTCTCTCTCCTGTCCACCCCCGTCCCCTCTCCCCCCTCCCCTCTTGCCCCCCCCCCCTCCTGTCTCCCCCCCTCTCTCCTGGCCCCCCCCCTCCCCTTGCAGAGCGCCCATCTGCAAAGCGGACCCTCCCGCCTTTCCCTGCAGCTCCCGCTCCCGCCTGAGAGGGCCCCCCCCCCCCTTTCGCAGCGCCCCCCCCCCGCTCCTGCCCTCACCCTTGCAGGGCAAAACTTCACGGGGGGGGAGGGAGGGGGGGGGGGGGGGCGAAATCGTGGGGGGGGGGGGGCTGGCAGCGGGGGGGGAGGTGCCGAGCACTGAATTCGACAATCAATGAGGTCCCCCCCCTCCCAAGCAAAGCTAAAGCTCATGCTGAAGCAGAGTTTCAGCTTAGACTTCTTAAACTCCCACGCTGGATAGACAGGAGAAGGGGGGGACAGGAGAAGGTTAAACTTAGACTTGTTAGACAGGAGAGAGGGGGGGGGACAGGAGAGAGGAGGGGAGGTGGCGGGATCAGCACCATCACCATCACCATCGTCACATCATCATCATCATCAGCAGCATCATCGTCCCGAGCGCCCCAGATCGGCGGCATTGACCGGAGGCCACTACAATTTGTTTTACAGATGTATATATATATATATATGAATATATGAATATATATATATATATATATATATACACACATATATATGTGTATATATATATATATATATAAGCCCGCACCCGTTTTGATCATACATGTCGCATTCTTTTTTCTCCGTTCTAATCATCATTCTCCCCATCCTCGTCCTTGTACACAACCAAACGCTCGCGCGCACACACGAGACTAATGTGAGGGGGCGTAGAGAAGATTCAGGAGGATGCCAAAGGGCCTAGACATGAAGCTTTGGGGATCGGCCAACCGATGGAAACTGTCATGTCCTGTCAGCTGCTGCTGTGGCGCAAAGTACTTAGAGCCTCAGCCCGCGATCACTCTGCCATAGCACCCCCGTGCTATGATGCGCCCCGCCGCTTCCGCTGGCCGCGCGGAGGAGCGCCCCGCCGCCGCGGTTCGTGGAGCGTGGAAGAGCGCTTGCTTCAAGCGCCCCGCGGCCACGTTCAACCCTTTCCCAGAGCCCAAGCGGGGGAAGGGCCGCGTGCAGGGCAGGAAGGGGAAGCAGGCGGGCAATGTCCAGTACGTTCGCATTGTTGGAGACACCAAGAAGACTCGGATGGAGCGCGATATTCGGTGCCGCTACATCGGTTCCTTCCACGCAGAGAACGAGAGCGAGCTCGTGGACTTCCTGATCGAGGACGGGAACCTTCTCGATTGGTCAGGGTTGACGTGCCCCGTCTGCGGCAAGGGCACTTTCGGCGACCGTTACATCAGGGAGTGGGATGGCGGTTTGGCTGCGCGTGGCGGTGCAACGATGGGAGGAAGACGTCGTCCTTGAAGGACAAGACGAAGGTTCTCTTCGGCCTCATCACAGGAATGACGACCGCGCAGATCCACCACCACTACGGCGTCAACCACAAGATTGTCGAGAGCATCACTCGCAACCTTGACCTGGCGCGCGCAGTACGTGGAAGAGTACGAGAAGGACATTGTGTACGGGGACGGCAAGACGCGGCGTCGAGGCTGACGAGTCAGTGCTTGCCACTGCGATCACGGAGGACAAGGAGGCGAAGGAGCGGGGGCAGTGGGCGGGGGTTGTGGAGAGGGGCAAGCCAGACGTGCTTGTGCTGTTCAAGACAGAGTCGGACCGCGCCGCCAAGAATGCCCCTGGCCCAGGCGCCATCAAGAAGAGCGACTGGAAGCCTTCTCTCCTGGGCCGCTCCAAGGGTCGCAAGGTGATCTTGCAGTCGGACGGCGCCAAGAGCTACAAAATGAGCGTGCCTGACTTGCTCCGCGACGCGGCGATCCACTGCAAGAGCCGCGTTAAGCTGGGAGGCAAGTGGACGTGGACCAAGCAAGTCTGCTCTAAGACCGCGAGGCACATGCTCCCAAGCAGCAGCGCGGTCAAGGTCAAGACGGGTGCCCACATCATCGACGGGACCTGGAAGCACGTGAAAACCATATTGGCCCGCGGGATTACAAGCCGCACAGTAGAGCACTGGCCGCCCGCATCCGTTCGGCTCAGTGGGGACGCTGGCATCGCGGTCAGGATCTGTGGGCGGCCACAGGCGCCATGCTTTACGACTCAATGGGGTCCACGTTCTGAGGTGCGCCGGCGGGGGCGCAGGGGGGCGGGTTGATTCGGCGCCAAGTTGCTCTCGCGTGCGCAGCGCGCGCGCGGCGGGGCAGCCGGCGGCCGACGCTGTCCCGCAAGTATAACTAGACATTCGCAAACGATTTCCCCCGCTTCAAATGCGCAGGGGGCGGGGTGGGAATAGGGTGGCGGGCAGCAGGCGCGGCCGCGGCCGCGGAGAGAGAGAGGCATTGTTCCGTTGCGCGCCAGGTTCGAGCGGCGTCCGTTGCGCCGCCCTCTCCGCTAGAGCGTCGCTCCAAGCTCTTGTGTTCGGCCGCTTTGCGCCGCGGCGAGCCTCGCGGCTACCGGCCCCGCGTCCACGGGGGAGCTCGTCGGCGGCGACGAGACTTGCATTGGGCAAATCAAAAGCGCGCGGCTGCACATGGCGGCGGCGCAGCCACGCACGAGGCCGGACCAACCCGAGCGCTTCCAGTCAGACCCGCCCGCCGCCATTTGCCTCCGCGAGATGCCGCTCCAACGCGCGGGCCAAGTCGCGAACCTCGAGCACTTGGTGACTGGGTGAATTTGGAGGGCGGCGCCGCATACCATTTGGACACCGTCGACGTGCACGACGCCATGTGCGGCGGTAATTACACGGCCCTTCCTGCGCCATTCAAGCCCGCCCAAGGCCCTGGAGAACTCGAATTTACTATGCAGCTCTACATTTTGCCGGAGGCGGGCCGACCATCAGTTCGCACTGAAGCAAGTCGGGTTCCAAGACAAGGTTCGGACCGACGCCGCCCTGGAGATCTTTGTCGCGGACAGGGCGCTTGCCATCCACTGGGGGGGGCTCGGCCGACACTTAAACGCGATCAAGCTCTTCAATTACATGATGGACAGGCTGGGCGGGGCGCAGATCCGCCATTGGGCCCAGCCTTCCGCGGTCGCAGACACTGGGGGCGGCGGCTACGACGCGGGACAGCGAAAGGCGGGCTTCCGTTTCACAGAGGAGTTCGGCCCGCGGGCAAACAACCGCAACCAGTTCGCGGGGTGGACCGACGAGCAGATCAACGACGAGAGCTCGCCAATCTTCTGTTGGCGAGCAAGCGAAGTCAAGGAGTCGCTCCGCAATTGCGCATCGGGTTCGTCTGGCGCGAAGACGCTCGAGCGCTAGGCGGCCACGCTCAAGCGTCTCCACCCGATCGCGTTCGACAACGTCGTGGCCCCCGCCCTCAAGAGCCACGACGTGCACGGGACAACGTGGATCGGCAAGGCCAGGGCCGGCAAATCTACGGCGTCGAAAACCATCGGCGTCGCAATCTCAGCCTACCAAATAGACGAGAACGATCGCACCGACCTGCGCCCAAGCGTCGCCGCGACGAAGAATATCGACTTCTTGCGACTCGAACTTGGGGCCGCGCTCAAGCCCGCCATCGCGGGCGACGCTGTTCTCGCGGAGTGCCCCCCCGACGAGAGCAAGGCCTTGCGCGGCCCCGCAGAGGAGGGCGCGCCGCTCTGGGCAAGGCGGCAGGGGGCAGACAACGCGCACCAAGAAAAACAGGATGCCTGAAACATGAAACATCGACCAGTTTTTCCCCCGCGGCGCCGTTGTCCGCGCGCTGCGCAGGTGGGGCGGCGCCTCCTTCGAGCAGAACCAGCCCCGCCAGGTCTGCGTCAAGCCGCGCAGCGAGGAGTTCGAGAGGTCGATCCGTCCCGTCCGCAGGGGCACGGAGGAGATCACGTTTGCGGACTTCCTCAAAATCACCGAGTGTAACTTCATTGGCGAGAAGCAGAGCAGCTACCAGATGGCGGACGTGGAAGCGTACCTGACGAGGGCCAACGTCGCGCTTCTGAGGGCTGGATCTTCCCGC